AAAATAGGCAGTAATTCATTTATTTATTTGATTGAAGAATTTCAGTAAGATTAAAGGTTCCTGATGAATTTGTTTTCTCATTTAAAATAGCGAGTCATTCATTCATATTCTTTAAAAATTTTAGTTAGATTAAAAAATAAATCCATATTTAATTTATTTTTCAATTAAAAATAGGGAGTAATTAATTAATAAATATTCTTGAAGCATTTTAGTTAGATTAAGATAAATATACAAATCAATATACTTACTTCCATGATTGCTTACTACTTACTTACTGAATATATTTTAATTTTCAAAATAGTGCGTAATGAATTAATTTATGCTCAATTAGAATAAAAATAATGCTCAATTTATTTTGACATATTAAAAATAGGAAGTAATTTATTAATTAATTAATATTCTTGAAGCATTTTAGTTAGATTTAAAAAAAGATGTGAGATTGATTCATTTTATTTATTTTAAAAAATAACAAATAATAAATTAATATTTTGATTTATTTTAGTTAAATTGAAAAATAATATTTAATTTACTTTTATTTAAAAAATAGCGAGTAATTAATTAATATTGTTGTAGAATTCTATATTCAAAGATGCATTCTGATATTTTAATATTCAATACAGACAGTAATTAATTAATTAGTTTGTTAAATTTCTTGAACAATTTTATTTAGATCTAAATATGCATGCTGAATTTATTTATTTATTTCTATATTAAAAATAGTCGGTAATTAATTAATGAATGAATATTCTTGAAGCTTTTAGTTATATTGAAGGATTTTTCTATGCTAAAAAAATGTTCATATAAAAATAGGGTGTAATAAATATTAAAAGATATTTTTTAATAATAAAATTTTATATAACTTTTATTATTAAAAAATAAATAGTTAGTAATTAATTTATTAATTAATTAATCAATCACTCATTTTTAAAGATTTTATTTACATTTGATGAAACTCTACCAATAAATAAATAAATAGTCTTTAATAAATAAATACCAAAATTAATAAATAAATAAATGAATAGCGAGTAAAATTTTTAGAAACTGTCTTTTAGCTAGATAGAAAATTCAGATACAAAGTTTATTTTATTTACAATCAACTTAGCCAGTAATAAATTCAAATAATATTTCTCTATTTATATATTCATTCCCTTAGTTTATTACTAACATACATACTTACTTACTTATTTATTTAGTGAATTAGTTAATTTTTAATAAGTTAACTAATTAATTAGTTATTTAGTTAGTTAGTTATTTAACTAGTAAGCTATCTAACTTGATTAATGGATTAATGGATGAAAGGATAAATAATTAAAATAAGAATATTTTGGAATTAATAAGTTAATTAATTAATTAATTTAAAATGAAAATTAGAGTAATAGATAGATTCAAACTATTTTTTAAATCATGCTTTTATCAAAAAAATAATATTTGTAAATAGAAAGTAATAATAAATTTAATGCAATCAATTTTAGTTATAATATTTATTTTAAATTTAAATTCGATATAGCAAGGAGTAATTAATGTTTTCAATTATTTTTGATAGAAGATTCTGATTGAGTAGCATCATATTTATTTAAAAAAGATAGTAATATATATTTTTGAGTAAATAAATTAAATTTTAAAAATATATTATAATATCAAATAGCATGTAAACTATTTTAGTTATTTGTCATAAGCAGAAAATTAAATTTATTTTTTATTTCAAAAAGCGGGTAATTTTTTCATAAATTAATTAATTTATTTTTAATTTATTGATTTATTTATTTACTAAATTACTTAGCTACTTATTTAAATTATTTTTAAACATAAATAGAAGGTAATTAAAGAAGATTATTTATTTATTTTAAATATGGATCAACTCTAATAAAAATAGGATGTAAATATAATTAATATTAATTCCAATCACCAAAATAAATCCATTCTTTATCAAAAATAGCAAGTAATATTTTGAGAATTTTTGATAGATATAGATAAATTGAAAGACAGAAAGAAATACAGATATACATACATACATAAATACATAAAGAAAGACAAATAACAAACAAACAAACAAACTGATAGATAGATAGACAAATACTCAATAAAATTTAAAATAAAATAGGAAGTAATATTTTTTGAGTAAATTAATTTAAAAAATGATAAATAAACTTAATATTTTAATAGTTCGTAATTATTTTGGATGATTTACTAAAAAATAGCTTGATTAACTTATTAATTTATTAATTAATTAATTAAAAAAACTAAATAATTAACTAAATTACTAACTAATTAACTAATTAACTAACACACTTTGATCTTTAATTTAATGAATAGAGATGTGACGTAATAATTTTGAAAGATATTTTTGGATGAATATGAATTATATTTTTTATTTATAGAGGAGAGTAATTATTTAAATGAGTTATTTATTCATTGATAGAAAATTTATAAATTGCTTTAACGATTCTCTATGAAATTGATACTCAATATAAATAGTCTGTAAAATATTTATATAGCATAAAAAAGCATTCTAAAATAATTTTACATAAAAAAAATAAATAAATAAATAAAAAATAGGCAGTAGTTAATTTATTCTTCATTAATCAACTAATTCATTTGGTTTAATTACATTTGATACTAAGATTGATTGATTCTAATTAATTTAAAGCATCACTCATTTTCAATATGATAAAATAGGAAGTAAATTTATTTATTTATTTCTTTATTTGTTTGTTTATCTAATTATTTTCATTCATTTATATATTTATTTAAACCTTTTACTTCAATATTTATTTATTTCTTTCTTTCTTTATTTTCAATCATTTTATATTAAATTTTTATTTTATAAAATTATACAATTAGCATGTAAAATTTTCGATTAATTCTAATTAGAAAGCTCAAAGCTAGAGTGAAAAAACGAATGAAAGAATAAATTAATTCATTATTATTTGGCATAGGAAGTAACTAATTTGTTAAATTATTTTTTTATTTATTAATTAATTAATTATCAATTGATAAATAAAAAGATATTAAATCATTAAATTAAAAATTAATTTTATTAAATTTAAACTCAAATAGAATCTAGTAATTTCATTGAAACAACTATTTTAACCAAAAAGTCTCAAATAAAATAAATAAATAAATATCTTTAATAATCAAAATAGCAAGTAAATTTAGTTTGTTTTTATAAATTTCATGGTTAACATCCAACTTTTACCTTAAAATAGCTAGTAATTTAGAAAATTAATTATTTGATGAGAAGTTATTTCAAGAATGTTTGTTTATTAAACATCTAACTATCTGTAAATAAAAAATATTAGGTAAACAAAATAAATTACACCATTTTTATGACAGATTCAATTTTATTATTAATTTTTGTTAAAATAGGTAAGAACTTTAAATGACTTCAATTAAGCTTCTCTTAATTAATTAACTCTGATATTCTTAATAGTTGGTAATACTTTTAAATTATTTTGGTCCTGAAATGTATGAATTAAATTAAACATTTTAAAATAGGTAAAACAATTCAAGCATTTATACTCATATTTATTTATTGATTTTAAAATAGCGTTGGATAGTAATATTTTTGAAATGTGAATATTAAGTAAAAAGAATAAATAAATTTTTGAATTAATAAATAAATAAATTAGCATGTAAGGATTCATTTGAAACCTGAAAAAAAAAATTAAATATTATTTATACCTAAATAAATAAATGAATGAATGAATCAATTTAGTGGGTAACAATCAATCATCTTTTATTTTTTAAATTTATTTTTATTTCTTAAATTATTTTTATTTAAAAA